ATACTAACCTCGCGTCAGCTAAAAGAAAGAAAGTTCGTAAGAACCTATATACACGTATATCGATTATTACGCCGAAGTTTATAGGAAGTCCATCTATCGATACATAATAATCTCTCACATTTATATACGTGTTCTTACGAACTGCCCTTCTTTGGCCGACTCGAGGGTCATATGGGCGTTCTTATTGCTGTTGTGTAGTGCGTGTGGCGCAGTGGTTGCAGGCACCATTGTGACACACACGTAGAATCGATCCCCACACCCATGGCCCACCAAGCCTTCCATCCTTCCGGGGTCGGCAAATTGGTACCAGCCTTGTCTGGGAGGATAGCAGTGCTGGCTCGATACATCGGTAGGCCACCGCGAATCATTGTAAAGGCCAGATATGCATTCATTCATCTTCAGCGATACTTAATGAGGTCGAATGCATGGGGCATCCCTCAGAGATTGATCAACGCCGAGAGATTTATCCTTTTATTGTTGTTGCCGTTGTTCAATGGCTGCTGTTTCGACCACTTCTCCTTCCTCAGAGCGTGGACGTACCATATGTAACAGAATCCCCACAATTCGGTGAGCTGCATGGTATTAATGAAGATCCAGTGTATGAAAAGACACCAATTTTCAATAACCACCCACCATGAGGTTGAACCTCGCATTTTGTTGGTTTACTGTTCGTTATACCATGAATGTTAAATTTCTAATTTTTGAGGCTGCGATATGGAAAAACTAAACGTCACAAGTGGAACCGAACAGTAAGCGAGCACATTACAATAACGAAGAGAGATTAAACTTCCTTCTGTGCAAAGTATTTTTACCCATTGCAATTCGTAGGCTTGTGGGAAATACAAGCGCGATAGCTTCGCTCACCATGGATGTCAAGGCCATTCCGGCAATCCGAGCGATTTGTGCTATTCTTATTTTTCTCCCTTCATTTATAGGATTGGCACTCCACTTTACCGTCTTGGCCGCGTTCTACAAGGTAGTTGAATTTTGAAACCAGGAAGAAAATCGTTAGCAAACGAAAGACGGTCGGATTGAGATTTTGAAAGTAAAGAGGTTTCATAGAGAGGGGTACATGGGCGATAGTCTCATATTTTACTACGGACCACTATTTTTTGAAGCCGTAGCCTTTAATGGAATGGTTTTTTCCTATTTCTAATCGCAATTAACAGGCTTACCAAATTTCTGTTTCCAACGATCAACGCCAAACATTTCTCATCGAAAAACACGCTGATGTGAGTTCTTCTTCAGTTCATATGTGAGAAAACTTCTAAAACCTCGTCTCTCGATGCCATATTAAAAATTGCGTGTGATGAAGACAATTTCATAAATATGAACTATGTTGGGACAAGAAACCGTAACGCGTTTCGAAAGTATTTTACACTTGTTAGCTGGAGTAATCACCGGGCTGCACTGGAGCTGGACTTGCCAGCAGTTCTACTCGACCATATAGTATTCGATGTGATGAAGCCTTGTCTGAATTTTTTATTGTTATTATAAGAGGTATATGGAAAAACTGTATTTTCGCAGTACGACAGAGTTGCTACGTAGGACAGTTCCACTCCGTGGTCAAAGAACGCTTATGCGATTGCATTCGCTTCGACGCTGTCAAATGCTTTTTCATAGTCACCAAAGGTCAGAACATGGAGCAGGTCATATTTCCGACAAACATCAGTGGTCAATGAGTGGCCAGGAGTTGTATGTATTCCGTATAGTACAATCTTTGTCGAAAGCTCGGCTACATAGCTGGTTGCTCCATTGCGCCTCATCCGATGTTCTTGATATGCGCGACAGTGTAAACTTCGTGAAGAGTTTGTAGAGTACACTCAAAACAGTTTGTGATAGAAAATTTTGAACCAACTAAACGGCCAACCCGAAAGGGATTATTGGTGTACCCAGTGCACGGGATCGAACCGAAGACTACGTGTGCATTGCAGAGCAACTTTATCCACTGCGGTGCTAGCACCCTTAGCAAGTCTGCAACTGCACAAATTTATAGGCGGCCTCTCCTGGGCCGGTCGCGACAAAAAAAGGCGTTGTGAAATCATGTGTAGGTGCGAATGTGGTGATCTCTTTTTCTCTTACGGCATTTGTCATGTTTACGACACGTTTCAGTCGTTACAGGAAGTAAAAGGCATGAAGCTCCGAAGAAAGGCATTGTTCCCTAACACTCGATATTTTTTGCAAAGTACATCACTCTGTCATTTGCTCCATGACATGATACTAGATCGTCATGTCTTCACAAATTACGTTATCAAGAGTATAACTGTGCGCTCCTACTTAGCGGTGACTTGAAAATTATGCGCACGCTGGCAAAATTTTCATTTATTCCATAATTAGATATTAGACAGTATTTAACTTCTCTTGAGTCTCGGAAGCTATGATCGGAATTTTCCCGTGTCATCATCGGCTTGCCAGTGTATAACTGCCAGGATACCACAAAGTTGGGGGATTCTAAAATCCACTTTAAGCCGTGTTTTCTGCACGCAAATGCCGGGCCTTTCAACCTTTAGGGCATTGTTGGAAGACGTTTTACCAGTTAAACATTAAAACAACGAATTTTGAAGCTGAATATCGGATTGATTGTGATTTCAGAATCTCGCTAGCAGTTTGGCACTACATCTTCGATATTTTGATAGTCAGATAACTTATAGGATGCACAGAAGTGTTTTCGAAAGAAGGTGAATCGATGTTACACACCGCTTAGTTAAGATGGAGAAATTCTTGCAGAGAATAAAAGCGAGGAGAAATCCCAAATATTTGAAATAATAGCGGACGAATTCTGGTGAAGTAAGTTTTATTGGTATCTCGTTTAAATCTTGAACGTGAGAAACAGCCATATTTCTCTTTCAGAGTTTTACTTTTGGTTTGAATGCCAAGATCCGAAAAGAGGAAGCTACTACATCGACGTAAGTACTCAAATTCTATTTTGCGGGTATTCTGATGGAAAACGCGGTTACACAGTAAGAGAAATTGAGAAAACAATTCGAAATGAAGGACAAAACACACAAAAGTGAAACGAATGTTTTTGGATCATATTAACTCCGTGTGATGTTGCGTTGCAACTGCAGTTGTAAAAAAAAAGATAGAACTTTCTTCGTTGATCAATCCCTGAAGGATGCGCCATATTTTCGACTTCATTAAGCATCGTTTGACTGTATATCTGTCCTTTACAATGATTCGTGATGTTTTACCGATGTATCGAGCCAGTGCTGCTATCCTCCCAAACAAGTCTGATAACAATTTGCCGACCCCGGAGGGATGGAAAGCTTGGTGGGCCATGGGCGCGGGGATCGATTCAATGCGTGTGAATCGTTCTACATTAAAAACTGCAGTCATAGTAAATAATAATAGATACATTCAATATCTGCAGGAAATTTTTGTTTAAACTGTTTTTATAATTTTCGAAGAGCAAGTCTTTCCATTCAACGTGGTGAATGCGTTGACAGACCTCGCATAACGTGCTGATATTACCAACCTTCACCCAACTGTGGAATCGTGTTTCAAATTTTATAGCTCCCAAAACAAATTGTGGAACATTTTGATACACAAGCTTTTCGCTAACGAGGGATAGACAGAGGATCTTCGAAAGTGAGGATTTTCATAACAGCCTCCATGATCTTTCTTCAATGCAAGGCAACAATTTATGGCAGAATACTCCTACTGCATGCACTATGAGAGATTCTCGAAGTGGGTGAGCGCAACCATTTGAGATAGCCGATTTTCGACAGACACCAAATTCAGATGACCCGTCAGATTTCAAATGGCAACATCCTATAAATAGTCAGAGCGCTTAGAAAGTTTCGATCTGTTCGAGTGGGACACATGTAGAAGGTCACAAATTTCATTAGTTGCTTCGGTCTTCAAAGGACGTCAAAGGTAAATTGCTGGTCCCAAATCAACCTTGTCCTATTGATCTTCCAGTGCTTTGCAATGTTTTTTTAGTTTGGTAAGCTAGCAGATGGCTGCTATAAAGTTTTCTTCTGCTAAGATTTCGACGCTCTCGTCTTCTTCAAAGCGTGCTTGCTACGATGCGAATGTACACAGGCGTTCGTCCTCCTGTTGTTCGCTGCCGTATGCAGTCGAATCGGGTGAAATGGAGCATTGCTAGAATGAAGTATCCTCAGTTGACAGCGCTCTTTTATGCAGGACACTTGTTGATTTATTGCCGCCTTCCAATATGATCTGGTTTTTGGCAGCTAGGCATCCTACCGCACTACGTACTATGTATCGAACAATCTGTAATGTATCACTCTGCAGTCCTGTGGTCACATGCGGTCGCATCTCAAAATTTTCGAAAACACGCGCAAATTGGTTTAGCAGTGTTTCTCTTTTAAATTCAGTGGGTACGTATGTAGTAATAGCGATGAGAATTCTGCAGTTTATACGCTCGTCATATCTCTCATATTGTTATGAAGAGAAGTGCAGTGAATTAGCGAAGATGTGATCAGGTAATAAAACCGGATGGTGAGAAGAAGTAGAGAAAAGTGGAGGAATGAAAGGAGACTGAAGCGGTGTTGAGGAAAGCCACTTAAGGGAGAACAAACACATTTTATATTTATTTAAATGCCGCATCAATGTTATTCCATTCGATCAAGGACAATGAGTACAAATGTTATCAATGGTCAAGCGTCTCTACGTGCAGATGCGAAGAAACGAAACCTCTCCAGACGTCTCTCTTGTTACAACATTCCATTCAATTTGTAGCACAGTGGAAGTGAAATCATTCAGCACAAGTGTTCTCCCGATGTTTGTTGTGAAATTTGAAAAATTATGATTAAACTTCAAGTAAAATTTTGTAATTGAAGTAGAAAACTTTGATAAGACAAAGTGTGAAAATCCCAATGAATTCCACAGATACAGTGCGTGATAAGGCGGTCTCAGCAGAATACTCAACTTTTCAGTTTCAACGGTATCAACACTATATGATAACTTTTCTGATGTGCCTAATATACCTAATTACTTATGTAAGAATTAGGATGTCGCGACAGAGCTTTGCCGATGGACTGCTCCTGTGTAAGACCAAGTTCCTAATCCAGGTGTTATAGCTGTTATATGTTATACCTCTGCCGTTTCATACTGTCTTTTCTAAACTGTGTAGCTCAGTTCAAATTAAAAGTTACTGAATCACAGAAGGGTTATTAGGCCACTCACTGGGAACCTCACATTGTGTATAGGAATCCTACACCAGATTTCTACAATGAAAATTTGTGTAAAGTGCTTGTAGAGAAACCAGATCGTAGACAGATTGAAAAGAATCTGCTAAACATTTACTTCTTCACATTATCAACAATTCTTTATATTTTCCTCGAGGTTATTGATCTCTGCCTAAACCTCCTCATCTAAGTCACCAGCAATTTCCACAATTTTTAATGGCCGATCGCCAACAAATGCAGATCGATGTAATTTCAGACGATACCGTCCGGCGTTTTGATTGCAATCGAAGTGACGATGTTCATTGTCTTTCCGTTCCTTGGCGTAACCAGTTATCCTCGCTTTATTGTTGTTACTTTTGAAAACCTAGTCATTATCGTGAATCTCGTAATTTCACCGATTCTGCTGCTAATTTTTAATGCAGACGTGAGGAAAGCTGTCAGTGATATCTACCGGAAACGTCAGTTTTCCTGCACGCATTAGTAGTTCGATAAAATTGGTCTGCAAAGCGAGAACCAAGAAATCTACTTTGAATCGTAATTGCTTAGAAGAAAGACGGAAGAGTTATTCTGGAACCTTCAACAATGATGTAAAATGAGAACAAATTACAAAGTAGATCAACAAGAATGGCGTGCAAAATCTGTCTTATAAAAGAAATCTTAATTTTGGATTTCACTTCTCGTTTATGGCGTATGAAAGAAATTGGTGTGGCGGAGAAACTTGCCCTCAGAATCAACTTTTGCAGGAAGATTTTCTCAAGGGTTGGTGTGGTGGATAGTACGTCGCATCCCGGAAAGGATAATTGCGACTTCGAAGCCGAGCTGTGGTTCCGAGTTCTCCTCATATCTCAGTATCGTTCTGATTATATTTTACGTATCACATTGTGGTGAAAAACAATAGGCAATAAATAACAGTTGAAACATTGTGATTTTAAAAGAAATAGTCTAGGAAGTCCAACAAAGAAGGGTGTAAATAAATGTTTGGAATGTTGAGCTGCAGGGGGTCTGCACAAAAAATTTATTCGACTAACATTTCGAACACTTCGTCTTCTTCGGAGCCGGATTGATCTGAGTCGATGATCCACTGATGGCCGTCCTCGCGAAGTGGATGATGCGCCAAGTAGGACCGAATGAAGAATCTCACACACCGGTGCGCTTTTATATAGGACGGATGTTAATTTACTGCCTTCATCCAGTGTGTTCTGCTATTTTGGCTGCAATGCGTTCTGCAGAATTCGGTAGTATACCAGCAGCTACGTAGCCTAGAAAAAAAAAACCTTTAAGAAAAGCGCTCACCTTTATCTCCTGTATCACCCGCAGCTCCGTTGATCGTCGAGTGGCTCGAACGAAAGTAGCAAGAGTAGCCCTGTCGGTTATTCACGCTCCAGGGATTCGTCGAGCATCATATCTCTCTTCTAGACTCTTCGTGAAGAATTCTGACCATCGAGTCGGTGGTTTTCCTGCAGTACGTTTAACATCCCGAAGAAACCAGTCACTAACAGCTATTGTTCATCAGTTGTCGTTCATACATCTCACGTGTATTGCCCACCTAATCCTCGGCTGTTTGGCGCACAGAACGGCATCTTTGATTTTTGATCGTTGACGTAGGTCGGAGCTTAGGGTCCCTTGCATTACTTGTGTGAAATGGCATCGTCCTTTCGACTGTGCCTTCAATAACGCCGAGTGATCTTTTGTCCTGCTTACGCAGCGACCAGGTTTCTGAAGCATACGTTAAGGCAGGGATTACCGCTGAGTCGTAAAGGTGGGAACGGATTCAGGTGTTCTTTGTTTTCTTTACTATATCCTCGATGCTTTTGAAAGCTCCTCAAGCCGTTTCCTTCTCCTCAACTCTGGAGCGAAGTCGTTCATCAAATTGAATTCCTGACGTAGACAGACATAACTGGAGCATTCGGAAATATTCGTTTCCTTGGGCGTGAATGGGGCATACGTAATTAATCCGTTCCTCATGAATATTGTTTTTGTGAGATTTAGTCGAAGACCAACCTTTCCACAGTTTATCAAAAACGTCAAGCATTCGTTCCACGTGGCTAATGTTTGGTGTTATAAGAATGATGTCATCAGCAAAGCGAAGGTGGTACAATTGCCGACCATCAATTTTCACTCCCATATTATCCCATTCCAATGTTCACGTGACGTTCTGGAGGATGGGGGTAAATAATTTTGGCGAGATGGTCTCGCCTTGCCTAACTCCTCTTTTGACGTCAATGTTAATATCATTGTAGAATGGTGTTATCTTGGTTGTGAAATTTTTGTACAGCTCACCAAGAATCTTTATGTACTGATTAGGAACTCCTTGGCTATCAAGGGCTTCCATGAATGCTTCTATCTCAGTCGAGGCAAAGGCCTTCTTTAAATCGATGAAAGTGAGGCAGAAGGGTCTTTTGTACTCTATAGCAAAATCGTTATCCGAATAAATTTTGTCGAGGGTAAACAAAAGTAGATTTTCAGTACATTACCGACTTCTGCACGAGATGTTGCCGACAAAAATGGCTGCAATTGATCAACAA